TATTTTTGTCCTTTTCCGCAGAAGTGAAAACTGACCAGAAAGGCGTATGCTAAGCCAGCCTGCACCGACGATGCAGGTGTGCAGACCAGCAGCTGCCGGGCCCCGACAGCTGTCACCGCAGCAAGAGGTCCGCCGTGGAAGAGTCTATCTCTTGGGGTAACCTTGCCACTCAGGGCTCCTCTTTGAAAGGCAGGATTCCCAGGAGCAGGTGGAAGGGGCCATTTTTTTAGGGATAATAATCAGAAAATGCTAAGCACGAGGACTGGAGTAAGGTATGACACGGAAGATAAAAAGTGGGAAGAAAGAGAGGGGAGAGGAGAGACCCTACAGATCATCTTGCCTGTAGCGCTAATGACAATAGTCATTATAGGAAGGGAATATGTGCATAATCACCTACTTGGGTCAATATGGCCATTTCACTACAGACTAACAGCCAAGCGCTGCGAGCAGGACTAGAGAGTATGAGAGGACTTGGGAAGGAAAGCTGAGGGACCCAGCCCAACCCTGGGTGACCTCTCCACAGCCCAGAAGGAAGAATCCCTCTGTCCAGCCTGGCCTGTTAGTGCTGGGACCCTGGAGTCGCCCTGCATGGGGTGTGTTCCAGTTCCCCCACCTGCCACCTGGAAGTGGTGACTCAGTTTCCTCATCTGTAAACGGGGGCAATGACAGCGGCCACCCCAAAGGTTTGAGGATGGGGAGTCAATGCAGTAAGACGCCTGGCACACAGCCCCCGATGGCGAGGCCCGCGGAGGTCCGAGCCAAGTCCCACCCCTCCACGGGCGCGCCTCTGATTTCTACACCAAGCTCTCAGAGCGCTCGCCATCTGGCCCACACAATTTATTACCTAATCATACACTGTCTTGAAACAATTAGGGAACAATTCAATACCGCATAATAAAGTGCTGAATTGAATTCCATCAGGTTCCTTCCGGCTCCAAAATATGACAATTCCAAACCCCGCGCTGTGCAGCACACGCTGGACACACACACAGGTCTCGCCCCGGAGAGAAGGGCTCTGGCCCAGGCCCCGGACGCGCAGCTTGGGGCTTGCTCTCTCCCGCTGTGGCTGGTGCCGCCCTCCCATGAGGAAGCCCCCGCGCCCCAGTCCGAAGCCCGGCTGCACAGGGAGAATGCTGTGCCAGGGACAGGCGGCTCAGGTGGGTGGCAGCTTGGCCGTCTCTGCTCCAGAACTCAGAGAGAAGCTTCCCCTGAGTCGTCTTTGTGCCCCACTTCCTGCCACTTTATCCCAGACCCGGAGGGCCAAGGCTGCGCAGAGTCTAGGAGACGGGGCCAGCCAGCTGGGCCACCTGTGGGCTGTGTCTGAAGTTAGAGGGTCCACAAGACCCTGCGTACACAGAGGTCCAGCCCAGATCTCCAGGGCAGAAGAGTTCATGTGCACTGGCTGAAGAGTCCTCTGGGTGCTTAATGACAGAAATAGCCCTCTGGGCAGATGCATCTCACAGAATGTAGAGTTAAAAAGGCTATCAGGGCAGGCTTCAGGGAGGTGGTGCCATGGGAGTAGGCACTGGCAGGAGGACAAGGACTTGGATGTGGAACAGGGTGCAGCTGGCTGGCATTGAGGGAAGCCCTTCGTGCTGCGGCGGTGGGCCAGGCTGAGAGTCAGTGCCCAGGGGGCTCCTGCCTTAGCTGCCGTCAGCCCCTGTGACCGCGGGTCCTGAGGCAGCGGGTGCAACACTGGCCACCCTGCAGGCCCAAGACCACCAAGGGCACTGCTGCCTTTGATCACTGAGTGATCGACCACTGGCCAGGCAGACAAGTGGCCAAGCCAGAGGGGTCAAGACACTCAGCTGGCCAGGGAGGACGGTGCCCTTCCTCCCTTCCCTCACCCTACCCATCTACCTTTCCCAGAACCGTGAAGCTCTGGGGGGTGGCGGCGGTTGCCAGGGAGGGTTTCTCAGCCCGTTATTGCAGTGTATAATCTGCTTTTATGCCTCCCCTCTCTTCTGCTGTACCCCTCCCCCACCTCAGTCTCCCTTTGCCCACCCTGCCACGCAGAACTCTCAGACCACACTACTACATGCTCTTCTCAAGAGAAAATTCTCTGATCAACCCAAACTGTGAATGGGTTTATGATTCCAAAGTGGATTCTCTTTCTGGGGATTAATTTTCAAAGACAGGGCCAGAAGAGGCCAAGGTTTAATCCAAAGGAATAAACCTCTAAGGAAGAATTCAAAGACAGTGACATTGAAGTTTGCTTTCTTACCAATAGCCTTTACTATGTCCCTGCTTAATTCCTTCTTGTATTCAAGTAACATTTATTGAGCGCCTACTGCAGGCGGGTGCCATACTGGGAGCTGAGAACTCAAAGATGGAGAGCCACAGTCGGTGTCTCGGGGGGAGATGGAAACATTAACACATAATTTGAACATGATGAGAACTGTCAAAGAACTTCCTGTTTCTTCAAAGCACCCACTTAAATGGAAGTATTTGCTGATTAAAAATTATTCCTATCTGCTCATTAAAGCAGCTCCCCTAAGACGCTATTGGATGCCACTTTTACACCTAGACTTGAAATTATTAAAGCTATATGTCAATGTATAATTTATAACCCACTCGCTTTCCATTCTGGCCTGGACTTCCTCCTGCTCAGGTCCAATGAGAACACCTGGCCACGGCCTTCACAAGCTCTATCTGGCCTGCGTTTTCTTTGTGATCCTGTTTGGTGTCTTCCAGATGGAGCATTTGGATCCTCTCCTTCTCCTTGTGACTCCCGGTTGAGTATACAATTCCCAAGTCATTTGCTTTTTTGGCTCTCTTTAACCCCTGGTTATATATACGGTACCCCTGATTTCCCTTCCAGTTCTGTTAATAACGAACGATAGCAGGTTGTACCACCCTTCAACACACCATACAACTATACGTAGCAAAACATGGCATGCGCTGAATTATTCAGTAGGCGAGTGATGCCACCACCCACAGGCACGGAGGGTGTGCGTGGGATGACGGGCTTCACTCTGCAGAGCGCTTCCCATGCGTTCCGGTTGCAGCCCAATTACGTCCTCCCCCAGGCCCTGCAAATCTGCTGTGGGAACGGGCCTGCCCATTTTGAAGATGGCAGAAGCTGCTCCTCCTTTGAGGTAGGAAAATGATCCTGCACATACAGGTCAGTTCTAATTACTCTCACCATTATTTCTCACATATTGTGGTTTCTCAACCAAAAATTGGGATCTGAAATTGGGAGCACTTGGGACACGTGCTCATCACATCTCTTAGGAAGTCTTTGGTCAAATAGTGGCTCTCCAGAAGGAAATCAGCTCAGCTAGTGACAACGTTGAATAAAGGGCCCCTTAATTCCAAAACCAAACCGACACTGCTAGCAATCTCTGACCCTGAGGGATCCCAGCAGACAGGGAAGGCGAGGCTGACTCAATCACCGAGAGAGGAGAAAATCAAGGAGAGGGACATGAGACAGGTTGTAAGAAGGAAGGAAGTGGAGGAGAGAAGCAGGAAATAGGGACAGAGAAAGAAGAGTGGACCAAGAAAGGGTGGCAGGAAGAAAGGGAGAGAACAGAGGGGGAGGAGAGGCAGAGAAATTAGACAACGTTGCAGAAAGAGGGAGGAAAGAGAAAAGGTGCCAGCAGTCGGAAAAGTTAGAAACAACCCTTGGGTAGTGGTCTCAGCCACAGCTCAGGGACATTAGCCAAAATGGCCCCCAGCAGCCTTCCCATCCTACTCAGCTGTTAACATTTTATAGCCAGAACCTCTTGTGAGCTCTTCTCTGAGCCCCTCCCAGGGAGGCCGAGGCTTGCCAGCTTGTCTAGACCACTCCCCACCTGAGTGGATGGGTCACGCAGCAGAAGGGCCAACACTGAAGGTTCACTGTTTGGAAGGGAAAACCCTGGACTCCTCAGTCTCCCTAGGTGACACCGCAGAGGCCAAGAGGGTGGTGGCTAGGGCTTCCAATACAACTTATGGAAAGAACTGAGCTCTTAAAAGGCCAGTATAACTCTCTGATTCCAGTTCATGGCCTGCAGCCGCCTAACCTGCCGCCCAAGCCTGCGGACACCTCCCAACTGATTTTTGACATTGCAGCCATGTCTTTCCCAAAGCATGGAACAGAATCATAAGTATTGGTGGTCCCTGAAAAACATACTACCTCTCTGCAGGGTCAGTTTGTTTTGGGGTCAATATTAACAACAAAAACACTCAGGCTTCTTTGGCAGGGAAGCAGATTGAGAGTTAGCCTGTACTTAGAAGTGCAAAAATTAAGAAACAAAGCAATCTGCTCAGCCCCTGGAAACCCTTAGCTGGCAGGTTCTGGCCACATGCAGCTCCAAGCAGAGAGAATATCCTGCCTTGTCTGAAAAAAATTCCCCACAATGCCCTCCCTGCAATGAGTGTATCCCACCTGAGAATATTCCATTTTCATTCATTCAACAAATAATTACTGAACTTCCACTGCTGATATGCAGGGTGCCCGGGATCACTGATTTTAGCTCCAAAACACTACAACAGATCAAGAAGAAATAACCACGTGATGGTATGAATGTCAGATCTCAGAGCCCTCTTGATGGAAACAGGTCTTCCCCAGCCAAGGTCAGCCTCACCCACAAGAAGGGGAGGAACTGCCTTCGCAGTGGGATTTCAGGGGGCAGGGAGCCCACACTGACATCCTCCCCTGACGCCCCGCCCCCACACACCCCTACACACACTTGCAGGCTGGTATCCAAAATCCTTGCAGCAGGTATGAAGCTGATGCCCCAACCTCAGATGGAGGCTTGAGGCCCAGGCCACCCCTCAGCCCACCTCCCAACAGAGGGGCAGGCCTGTGAGTCCCTGCTTTGTCGTGGCTGGTCCTAGCCCTCACCCCTCTTGTCGAAGGGGATGAGTCAGGGTCCCCAAATGCAAAGAGCTTTGAGCCATTGTGCGGAGCAGGCTTCTTCCCCGAGGGCAGCTCTGGGGCTGGGCCATGGGGCGGGGGGCTCAGGGTCACCCCAGGACAGGCTTCCCCCTCCCTGGTTATTCACCCGGGTCTGTACCTGGAGCTGGAGTCACTGCCGCTGGGTGACTCTGGGACGTCCGTGACATTAAAGAGTCCCGTCCAATTGGCCAGCTGGTCGTCACTCTGCCAACCAAACTGGAGGCTTCTGGCAAGAGAACGAGGCAGTCGGTACTCACACTCATGTGCTGGGTTAAGCCTGTCTACCAGAGAGCCACACACTGTCCTGTGCCAAGTGACACATTGCCTTCATCGCGCACTTAGTGGAGAACGGGGTGATGTCCAACCAGGAGGATGGTGATAATAAGCCTTTATAGCATTCTCTGTTCATCTACCTCCATCCCCTCACTGCACCTTTGTCGGCAGAGCCGCGGTCACACATAGTACACGCTTAGCCAGACTTAGCCAGACCGAGGCCACTGGGCCCTCCTACCTCCCACAGGGCGCCTCCCTCAGTTCCCGCCTCTAGAGACATGCACCCGAAGAGCTCTCAACGGAGCACCAGCACTGTCCTCAGAGGCCGAACACCCTGTGAAGCTTCTAATGAATCTAGTTTTCCACCGCAGAAGGACACTCCTCTGGTTTAAGACCACGGACTCAGAACACGTGGTTATCACTGCTCCCTCCCCAAACCTGGCTGAAGTGAGAGCAAAGGAATAAATAAGGACATGAGCTTGGAGACAGGGCTAGAAGGGGGCTGGCAGCAGCATCGGCGGAGATGGAAAGCAGGTGGGTAACTGCCTCAGGTCAGAGAGTGGACTCCTGACTCCTCAAGAAGCCAATCTACTCACCGCACATGACTCGGGAAGTGAGGGATGGTCCCGCAATGCCCTCGCTTCCCCTTAACAGCTCATCATCTTTGCTCTCCTTGGATCATTTGGACGGCAACGCACCCTGGCTAAAGTCCAACCAATACATTAATACTTTATGCTCCCACAAAATGCTTCCTTTCCACCAGGGAGCGAAGTCAGGCCTCCAGGGGCCTGACAGGGCCCGAGAGAAGCGGATGAAGTGAGGGCGTGTGCCCCCCGTCAGGGAAGGTGCCCTGAGCTCCAGTCCACTGTGGCCTCGGTGCCGTGTGGGAAGATAGATGCCTACCTCAAAACGCCACTTTGTTCAGTCTTCCAAGAGAGGCTGGAAATCCAGACTTTTAATTCCCCAAATTTTGATCCCAAAATTTGGGAATGATCCCAAATGCTGATCATTCATTCAAACTTGAAACACGGGGCAGACCTGCGACCCCCACGGGCAGGCCCACTGCCATCATCTTGCTTGATCCTGACCTTAGTCTGACGAGGGAGACAGGGAGGGCCTCCTCCACCACAGCTGAGGACACTGAGGCAGGCAGTGGGCTCGAGGCCGGACTCCAAGTTCAGTTCTTCGGCTACTCAAGTTCCAGCTCCTGTCCCAGGAGTCGGCTACACACAGCACACCTTGGGGTCTTCCAGTTTGGGGGCTGGGCCAGCGACCCTCAGCCTCTGCCTCCTGCACAATAGACATGCTCACCACCTCAAAAGGCACCCACAGAGGACGCCCAAGTGAGCCAGGCCTGTAACCACCCCTTTCCCTCCCACTCCACAGAGCACATCCTAGAAATGCCAATGACTGAGCTGTTATTATAACCAGGATAGCCTTGAATCGGCTCTATTAAAAAAATAATAAAAGAATAAAATCATTCACAAAACATCAGTACTTTCCTGGGAGGATAATCTACTGCATTATTCCTCTGGATTTTCCCTCCCCCATTCCAAGAAGGGAGCTTGGCTGTTTTTCCCTCTCAATGTAGCGCCTTGTGGGGTGTGGGGACTGAAAGAAATTGTGTTGGGCCATTCTAGAGGGAAGCAGGAGGGCCTTGGGCCTGCGGGGCAGGGGGGGTGGGTGCCGGCTGCCTGCGCTGGGACTACAGCTGAGCAGAAAACCCCTCAGGCCCAGGAAGCCCCTCTGCCGGGTCTTCCACTAGTTCTACCTTTAAATGGACAGCAAGACCCAGAAAGACTGCCACTTGGGGACCTCAGGAGGCTGGACTCAGGGCTCTACGGCCTCCAGAAAGCACTGAGCAGATCAGCGGAGGCGGGGGTGACCTGGGGAGTGCCCCCATCTTTGTTCCTCCGAAGCCTCCATGACCTTCACACGACCCGGAGTGGGGATACAGGGAAGGCCCTCAATAGGGACAGACTAATTTCCCCACCAGCTGGTGCATACGGTTTAATCTTTTTCTTAAGCAAAAGAAAATGAGGCAATGAGCCATTTCTTTCATACCAAGCTTGTGAAATAAAATGTAGCAACACTCTTCTATTATTAATCAGCAGATCACTTGCATTGGACCTCACAGCTGGCTGGGGATAACTTTCCTTTATCCACTCATACTATTTTTATTTTATTATATATGTATGTGTGTGTATGTATCTCAAGTATTTATTTTGTTGTACTATCTTACAGTTATCACCCAGCCAGGCCAGGCAGGGTGCTGGGGTTCTTCGGTGAACAAACGGAACAAGCCCTGTCCCCGTGCTGATCCCTGCGAGAGGGAGACAGGTGCATCAGCAATGAACAGGCGATGCACGGGTAACGGTCAGGTGGTGAGAAAGGCCACGGAAAAAAATAAAGGGAGGCAGTGGGGAGAGCAGTTTGGGGTGGGTGGGGGATGCTATTCCACATAGCACCCTATGTGACAATAGACATGCTCACATGGCCTTCTTCCTGAAGAAGTGTCACCCGAGCAGGACACGAAGCCGAGTGATGAGGATGGGAGCACGTGGGTCAGGAAAGAAGCTCCAGAAGACTAGCGCCTGCGACGGCCCTGGGCGCGAGCGTGCAGGCTTATTCTAAGGCTTGCAAGATCGTGCACGCAGTCGGGGCTCGGTGAGTTAGGGGCTGGTGGCAGGTGCTGCGGCATCTGTTCAGAGAAGCAGCGCGGCCTTTCTGTGGTCCCTCGAAGCCATCGAAGTGGGGGGCCCATCTTCGGAGGAGCAGAACTCAGCCGGGGCACAGGGTGCCGGTGAGTGCTGGGCCCTTCCTGGGGCAGCCGGGTCGCTCTCCTCCGCCTCCCACAGGCGTCTGCGCTCCCCGGTCCACACGAGGAGCTGGGCAGGCGGTTGGAAAAGACCCCTCAAGGAAGGGGCTGAGACCTTCCCACTCAGATCAAAGCGGAGACGCCTGCCCACTGGGAAGCCTTTCCAGTGGGATGATAGGGCAGAACGGTCAGTTCCCCGGTCCCCCTTGCTGTCCTCACCCCTGACTCACTGGCTAGTGACTCACATATGTCCCTGTGAAGCACCCGATGCTAACATTCCCCCACCCCAAGAACCTGGTGGGGGAGGGGTGGAGGGAAGAGGGTTCATCAGAGGCAGGGACCTTGATTCAGAGAAACAGAGAGGAGGCCGCAGGTGAGAGCGTGCTGAGGGAGGAGGGCGATGGGGCGTTCCTCGGGCTGGCCCCCACACTCTCCACTACCCCCCCAAGAAGGGAAGGGAAGAGACTGGTGGAGCAAGTGGCAGGAACTGGGGTGGGTGGGGAATCTAGGGTGGCAGAGGACTGGCCTTCTTGAGAGGCCCCAGGCCTGGGGCCCAAGGAGCCACTGAGCAGTCAGAGCCTCCTGGGTTCTGGGCTGTCCACAGTTCTGCAGAGGCTTCTGGCTGAGAAGTGGCTGGGGCTGGGCCCAGGGGGAGTCCAATGTTGGCAACGTCCAGGCCGAGGCAGCGGAGGGTGCACATGGGGACACCCAGCCACGGGAGGGTTCCAGGACAGAAACCAGCAAGCTCCAGGCACAGCTGTGAGCCCATCTCGCCACCCCAGCCTCTGCACCAGAGAGGAGCCTGCCCCCCAATGCAGGCCAAGCTCCAAGCAGCCCTGCTCCCCAGCCTGATGTGCCAGACCTCCGCTGCCTGCCCAGCCTCCCTGAGGGGCCAGGGACACACGAGTGGGCGCCCCAGACCATCCAATCGCGTCCGGCCCCTTTCAGGTACTCTTTGTTCAATATTAGGTGAAGATCGATCTCAGGGAAGAGCACACACCAGCCTTCCCGCTCTGCTCTTCCGCCCAGGCCCCAAACTGCGATCTTACCCGGCTATTCACCTCCCTGATCACTGCCTCCTCTCAAACCTACAAGATTTAGTCTATGTCACACAATTATGCGTGTATTTTTCACTGTCTTATGTATTTTTCATGTTTGTCTCTTTCAGTGTTCTGGAGTTCCTTAAGGACATGAATCATACCTAATAATTGTTTAGTAACATCCACTGTTCCCCCAACACAAAGCTGAATGGGTACTTAAGGGATGTTCCTTGATGGTTAGAGAAAAACTTTGGGACTCCCTTTGCAAGCATCCATTCATTCAACAACTGATGTCAGGCGCTGTGCCAAGTCCTGGGAATTCAGAGATGAATAAAATGTCTCTTTCAAGTGTCTTACAAGCTCTGGGACCTTATGCAAGTTACTCACCCTCTCTGAGTAAGTGTTAAATAGGGATGATTCTATGTGTTCAAAAGGACGATTGTGAGGATTAAATGAAATAATCCTCATTCAGAATTTTCTACATAGAGCCTGGCCCATAAACCCTTAGTGAATGTTAATAATGAAGAGTATTACTTGATGAATCCATCACCTGTGTGTGTGTATGTGTGTGGGGAGGGTATCCCTACACATGGGGTTAAGAGCTGAATTAGAGAATTATTGGGTGAGAGACTATTAGATGAGAAGTGAATGGGCCTGGATGAGTCAAAGAGGGGAAGCTAGATTCTCTAAGAGGTAAAAATTTCCAGAAAGTACAGATGTCAAAAAGAAAAAGACTAGAGAGAGATGGGCAAGGGAGCAGAGTGAGAAGGCAGCACTGTGTCCCTGGAGGACAACTGGGGAAGGGACAGGAAGCTGCTGTCTACCACCTGGTGCAGGCCGGGCACACAGCAGGCCAGGCACACAGCAGGCCAGGGCCAGGACGAGAGCCAGGCAAGCAAGGCGCCCAGGGCACAAAATTGAGGGCAGCCCACTCTCAGACCTGTGCAAGAACCAGGTCACCCCCTGAGAGGGAGCCTCCTTAAATTCTGTCCCCTGGGTGCCTTGCTTGCCTCACCCTTGTCCCAGCCCTGCAGCAGGTACTCAGTATAACTTGCTGTGACTAGTGGAACTGTGGGTGTTCAGCCAGTTTACGACACTCCCAGGCGGCAGTCAGCTCTGCTCTTTCCTCCTCTCTAGAACCTCCACCTTGTCCCCACTAGACACCCTTCCCCACCAGAGCCACCCCTTGCTTCAATCTTCTGTCCCATGGTCCCCATCTCCCAGGTCCCCACTGTCCCTAGGTGCAGGGACAATTGGCTCAGCGATGACAGCACTTTGAATATACACTTTGGATACAGCGCAGAGTCAGGCTGCCCTTTTCCTTGACCCAATTTCTTATCCTCAAGTTTCAGGCCTCCACCAGCCACATTCAGGCAGCCCGGATCAACACCCTCGAGGTGCAGGAGAGAGAAAGGCATCGGGAGGAGACAGCGGACAGGAGAGTCCTCCCTGCCCAGGGTTGGACGAAGTAGGCCCGGCCTCCGCTCCTACATCCTGCGCAGCCACACGGAGAGCAACAGGACAGCCCTGGGCAGAATGGGCCGAGCCCAGACAACCCAGGCACGACGGATTCAGAGCCAGGGAGGAACGCCGTGGGCTGCGACCCAGAGGACAAGCGCTATTTGGCCTGGCAGAGAGATGGCTGGGATGGCGCAAGGGGGACACCAGGTGGGAAAAGGCACGGAATCAGGCCAGATGCGGCGTGGATAAGAGACTCCTGGCTGACAGGCGCAGTGCGCTCCTGTAAGAGCGGGGCTTCAGTGCCTGGCCTGGTGGCTCCGCCGGCGGCGCATCCCCCGATCACCAAAAGGTCGCCTATCGATATGATGCTTCTCTCTCACATTGATGGTTCTGTCTCTCTCTCCCTCCCTCTTTAAAATCAATAAAGAAAAATATCCTCAGTTGAGGATTTTTAAAAACGATACATAAAAAAATAAAAAAAATTTTTTCAAAAGAATGGGACTTCAGGCACAGACTAATCAATCAGAGGGGGTGAGACCTGTTTGGGGAGGGGGAGGAATGGGAACATTCAAAGGCCTCCATTTCTGGTAAAATGGCAGATGGAAAACCCTCTGTGGCAGGTGCCCCTTCAGGAGCAGGTGCCCTTCAGGACTGAAGGATTTCTTCCTTACATGCTGGGGGTGCAGGGAGCGGGCAGGCCCCCCTCTCAGGCCCCTCTGGGAGTTGTCGCAGGTGAGAGGAGTCAACTTGACCAAGATACTGCCTCTTCCAAAGGTGGTCCACATCCAGTGACTGAGCACTCCTCACACGGACGTAAAGGTCGGCCCCTTCACACTGTGGCAACTCGCCAGGGTTCCCAGGGTTTCATTTTTTTTCAATCCTCACCCAAGATATATTTATTGATTTTAGAGAGAGAGGAAGAGGGGGAGAGAGAGAGAGAGAGAGAGAAACATTGGTTGCTTCCTGTAGGCACCCCGGCCAGGGACTGAACCCACAACCTAGGTATGTGTCCTGACTGGGGATCGAACCTGCAACTTTTTGGTGTATGGGGACAATGCTCCAACCAACTGAGCCGCCCAGCCAGGGCTGACGAGGGCCTCCTCTGGGGCTGCACTGCAGCTGTTTCTCCCGCGGCTCCATCTCCCTTCTTCACGTGTGGATCCCAAGGACACATCTTACTAAACATGCGCACTCTAATCTCTGGCTTAGAGTCTGCTTTCCAGGGAACCACTCTACAACATCTCCCACTAAAGAACACTAAAATAATGATTAAAATGTGTAAAAATGTCTTCTTAAATGGATGAATAATCTGGCAAGGAAAGAAGTAGTAGATGAGTTTTAAAGCCAGTTGCTGCCTCAGGGGCATCTGCCAATCCCGATAATTCCCGTGCCCCCTGTAATGGCCATTATATTACTGGAATGAGCAAGTATTAACCAAATAGAAGCTGTCTCACTATATTAAACAAAATGGACTTTAAGGCTTAAAGTATTACTAGAAATAAAAAAAGTCACTACATTATAATAAAAGATTCTGTTCATTAGGCAGACGATATAGCTAAACTAGTATACATCTAATAATATCACTCCAATATGCATGAAGTGAAAGTTGATAAGGAGAAATTGATAAATCCACTATCATGGAGGATGATTTCATCATACATCTTAGAAATTGATAGATCAAGCAGAACAAAAAAAAACAGCAATAAGAATAAAGAAGATTGAAAAATACAAAACCACTTGATTGAACAGACATGTAATACTGCACTTATTGAGAGAATCACATTTTTTTCAAGTACACACATAGTACTTAAAAAAATCACCCATACACTAGACACAAAGCAAATCTCAACAAATCTCAAGGACTCAGCATCCTAAATACCATGCTGTCTTACAACAAAGCATTTGAGTTCAAAATTTTAAAAGATAAGTTAGAAAAGAGAATATTTGGAAATTTTAGAAAATTTCTAAATTTGTGAGTGAAAAAAAGGATAATAGAAAATACTTGGAATTCAAAATAATGAAAATACTTCTGGTAGTTACTATGCATAGGACCTTGAACAATGACCTCACTGTGCCTTCGTTTCCTCATCTATAAAATGAAAACAGCAATGGTATCTATTATTTGTTAGAACCCAGTATGGTAATATATACAAAGCACTTGAACCAGGACGTGGCACACAGTAATGCAATACAATTCTGAGTTATTATCATCCTCATCATCCCCAAATTTAAGGGCTATAACTAGAGAAGTACTTAGAGGACATTGTATAACCTTAAAAGTTTACATTGGAAAATAATAAAGACTGGATTCAAGAGATAAGCATTCACCTTAAGAAGTTAGAAAAAGAGCCTGGTTCAGGGTCTGGGTGGCCCCAGGAAGAACTGACCAATGGACCAGGCCAAGTCCTGCAGTGGGAGTAGGGTCAGACCTGGGAGGCGCGAGAGGAGGCGTCGCCACATCTCTGCACCATTGCTGCTGCTGCCTGCTTTAGTTCTGGATGCGCCCTTCCCCTCCACCTACCCAAATCTTATCTTTCCTTCAGGGACCCACTCAGGTTCTACCTCCTCCAGGAAGCCTTCCTTATTTACTTCAGCCAGTGGTGCCTCCCTCCCCAGATATTTTAATACTTCATAACTGTCTCATTTGTGGCCATTTTGTTTCCCCCAAAAAGAATTCAACTCCTCTGAACATCAGGACTACATCATTCTGGCACCTTCCCAGAATGAGATACATACAAATTTTGCTTGCTCGATTGGCTATTGACCAAGTCCCTGTAGTCAAGTCCTGGGCAAGGTGGCATCTGAGACTTAGAGTCCCAGGTTTCTGTGGGGGAGGATGGGAAGCAACTGGTATGCCTGCTGAACTCCAGGCAGCTAACGCATCCACCCGGGGCCTGGGAGGGTTTGCAGAGGTTGAGCTGGCATTGGCCACGGTCGCTGATATTCTCCCACATCTGGCAAGGCAGCAGGGATCCCTGAAGCCCCTGCAGTTCTGGGTAGATGCCAGCAGGGGGCAGGAACCCAGAGCCACCATGCTGAGGAACAAGTGCAGCAAGAGAGGGCTGCAGCAGGCCATTTGGGGCTCAGCTATCCTTGCATAGGGATATGGGGGTGGGGCTCAGTAACCAAAAGAGGAAGCAGGCCCAATGGGATCCAGTAAAGCCAGGAAATTCTCCGAAAATGCCCTTCAAAGCCTCCAGCACCATGCTCATCAGCTGCCTTCTACCGGGGAAGAACACTCTGGGATAGTCAGGAGCAGTGGCTTTCTGGAAGCAAATGTCCCAGACAACGGGCCTCATTCCCCAGCCCCAGGACGTGGAAGCGGGAGACAGCCTACCGGCTTTCCTACTGCGAGTGCCAGACCCAGCAGCAATCCTCACTCTCCTGCTCCCACGTGCAGTTCAGATTGGGGGGCAGGGTGGGGGGGGGAGCAGAAATGACTTAGTGGAACCCAAAGGATGGAAAGGGAACAACTGTTTTATTATTTGGAAGTTCAGAGAAGAGATGGGATGTTTATATAGCTGGAGAGGCATTTTGTTTTCTGTCTGTCCCGGGGGAGGGGCAGTGAGCATAGGGAGACACTGGCAGCAAAGAAAAAACCTCCAGCAGAAAGGAGAGATGGGCTCTTTGCAAGAGATTCCGATGTGAGTGGATCCTATCCTACGTCCGCGCTCTTCCCAGGCCCTGAAACCAGGCACAGTAACCCGAGGCGCTTCTCCTCAGCCAGCAGAGCGGGCAGAAGGGGCTGAGTCTGGGCCCGAGTTTCCGAGTGGGGTTGGAGCAGAGCCCGACAAGGGGAAGGTTAACTTCGGCCGCAGCTCTGACCTTCCGCGGAGGGATGAGAAAGGACCACCCGTTTCAGAAGGGATCAGGTTGTGAGTTTCACAGGTCCAGAGGTTTGTGAGTTCACGCTCCCTGTAGATAAGTCTCAGCCCACTACCACCCCAACATAACCCGACGTTCCTGGGCGAGGGAGGGATTTGCTTTTACTCCCAAGGGCCCTCACAGTTCAGAACTCACAAGGGTCTGGTTCTGAGCCTCCCATTCTCGGGAGCCTTACCTCCAACCAAATGGCCATTGCACTGTAGATTGGGGGGACACCAATCTAGCCCCTGTGGCCGCTCTGGGCATTCAATGGATTCACCGTCAGCTTGGCCACTCAGAATTCTAAACTGCCCCCCCCTCCCATTTTTCACAACAGAACAAAGTTGTTGGGCCCCTCCAGCCAGCGCTGGGCAGAGGCTCCCTTCTCTGGCTGGGAGGAGAGATGCGCTTCGGAGCACCCCCGTGTCCTAAACCCCACGCGGCCGTGCTGGGGCTAAGCGCAGACCCCACGGTCACTCACCCCGGAAACGCCCGGGTAAACGCTGCAGATGCTACCTGGGGCTCGCCCGCGGGCTGTGCTCACTCCCACCCGCACTTGGACTTTCTCACCTCTTGATGTAGTTCCTGCCATACAAGATCTGTTGCAGCAAAGTCACCAAGGCAAAGGCGCAGATGAAGATGAAGAGCAAAGTTCGGTTCCCCAACAAATCCCTGTTGGCCGAGGGGTCCGCGTAGCGCATCCTGGCGGCCGCTCGCGCGCGGCGGAGCGCGGCAGGCGCCAGGGGTCCCCGCAATCACGCGCGGGTCTCCGGGGCCCTGCGGGGCACACGGCCGATTAGGCGCCTCTCGGCGCGGTCAGGAGGATGGGGACTTCTTGGGGCAAAGTTTCCGGCTGGCGCGGTGGAAGTACGGGGCATCCGAGCGTCGCCGGCTCCGGGGCGGCGGGCAGGGCAGGGCTGGTTGCAGGGAGCTCGCCTACGGCCCGGGCCTTCCCTCTGAATGCCTTCACCTCAGGCGCCAGTGCCCGGCATCCGCCGATTTCCCTGCGAAGGGGCAATGCCAGGTGCCCCAAGCTTCGGGCGGCCCCTCCCGCGGAGGTGACGGCCAATGGGGAGCGGGGCCGGAGCGCCGTCCGCGGGTGCGCCCAGGAGCGCCGCGCACCGCCCCCTGCGATCGGGCTCCGGCTCGTGGTCGCCCAGCGCGGTGCCCTGCCCCGCGTCTGATCCCGGGCCCGCAGCGAAGGAGCGCGAAGGCTGGCCTTCAGTTCTGCGGATGGGAGGTGGGGAACAAAACACCCGGACGGTCTGGTTAATGACTAGCGGGCGGTGGAGAGGGGGAGGGGTAGAGCGGAAAACGCCGGGTTTGAATCGTGGAATTTAAAAAGGGGGCAGGAAAGGGAAGCCGCGGCTGCAGAGCTGGACTTGCTGGAGGGGAACATTTGCATGCGGCGCGCTGGGCACTGAGTCACCACCGTGGCCGCGTCCTCACGCTCTCCCAGAGATTTCTCCGGAGAATGCGGAGCAAGGTCAGCCGGGCAGCCCTTCAAGGACGGCGCGCTTGGCTCCTGCATGCTGATGGCCCCAGACGCCTAACTCCTGCGAGGAGGACATTCAGGGCCTCTCGGTCCCTGCCACAGGCCTCCCCTCCCTCCCCAACTGCAGCTCTTGGCTGTTCGTCAAAGACCTTGTTGTCACCGAGACACTGGGAGCTTGTCTCATCCCAGTAACCACTCGAAAATCTTAGGTGAGGCAGCTAGCCGCCTTCGAGTACCACACTCCCTCAAAGCTTAAGTCGCTAAGTCTACAAAGGTTTGGGCTTCAAGAGTGCACACCAGGGAAAATAAACATGGAAATGCAATGCTAAGCCGTGCCTCTTCAGAAACCCTAACCCCTAAATGCGCTCCCTTTTCTTCCCACGCCCCGCCCCGCATGCCAAGCGGCAGCCCTTGTCATCCTCACACCGCAGTCTCCGGGCGCCCGGAGAGTCACGTGCCCGCGGCATTCGCCACCGAGCCCGAGCTGGACGCTTGCAGGGCGCCCCGCGCAGGGCCCTCCAGCCTCTGGGGGAGGTTCTAGAGTCAGGTCAGGGGCTCACCTTGACTCGACCGAAACTCCACCAGCGGCAAGAAAAAGAACTTTGGTGGGGAAGTGCCCTGACTCCACTGCTCTGGCCTTGGCATTTAATAGTTTCTTTTTGAACTGGAAAGACCACAAATGCATGGTCCAATCTCATGATTAACGTTCCACACATAACTTGAAATTCGTGTGAATTCACAAGGTGGAAATGGACCCTGTGCATCTATAAAGAGTTTATGTATAAATAAATATTGCCTGTGAGCTCACAGATATGCTTTTTACCCAATTAAGGAAATAACACATAAACATTTAGATGGCCCATTATAACAAACCTGATATACGTTTGGTGTCTTACACATCAAAAAGTGCTTGCTCTTGCATATCTTAATTAATTAGCGCCCCCTAGCCTCTGGCCGACCTATTTTACAGTGGGAAGGATCAGAGCTCTAGCTGCCCAAACTAGCTCACCTACCAAGGAGTCTTCCGAATCAGAGATGTGGCTCTTTCTCCCTCTCGTACAGGGAGGACTGGCTTCATGGGAGCGGGACCAGTGCCTACTCTTAACGCCCACTCCCGGCTTAATGTCCCACTCGTGCTGTCTTCCAATTCAGAGTAACTTTTGAACAAGGAGACCCTGCAGTTCACTTTGCACTGGGCCACACAAACCGTGTGGCAGGTTCCCCCCCACAGGTCCAAGCTGACAGAGTTCCCACTTTTCACCTAGTTGGCTCTCCACCTGCAGAGGTCGTGAGGCACCACCATCACCACTTCAGGCAAGACGCCCTTTTTTCTTTTCTTTTCCTCCTTATCCTCTGCCCTCATCAGGTGCCCACTCTGACAGTTGTCTTTGGACACATACTTCCTTAAGAAAATAAATCTATTTTAAAGTAATAAATCCAGATTATTCTAAAAACATATGTATTGCTGAATTTCCCAAGCTGAACGCACTCATGTAACCAGGACAAAGACCAAGAAACAAAAACATGATCAGTCCCTCAGAACTCCCTCTTTTTCCAGTTACCATGTACTCAAGAGTAACCACGCCCTGGCCGGTGTGGCTCAGTTGGTTGGAGTGTCCGCCACCTAGACTGAAAGGTCGCAGGTTCCATTCCCAGTCAGAGCACATACCCAGGTTGCTGGTTTGATCATGGTCATGGCTACCTATGAGAAAGCAACCAAATGATGTTTCTCCCTCGCTCTTTCTCACTTTCTCCCCTCCACACCACTCTCCCTAAAAGCAATGAAAAAATGTCCTCGGGTGCGGATAAAAACATAAAAAAAGAGTAACCACCCTTTGACTGCTAACACCAAAGATCAGTGCTTCCTGTTCCTATAGTTTATACAAATGAAATTGGACGTTACATATACATTCGTTTCTGACTTCTTTTGTTCACCATCGATTGCAAGGTTCATCTGCACGTTGTGCGTGGTAGGTGGAGCTCTAAGATGGCCCCCAAGATTCCATCAGCTTCTCTTGGACGCACACCTCTTGCAGTTGGTCAACTGAACATTAACCTAGGTGCTGCTGTAAAGGCATTTTGCAGAGGCAATTAAGGCTCAAATCAGTTTTTAGTGAGATTGTTCTCAATAGATCTGATCGCATGAGCCCTTAAAAGAGACTGGGCTCTTCCTGGAGGAAGAGATTTGAAGTATGAGAGGGATGGATATGGGGGAAGTTCTTCATTGTTGGCTCCAAAGACAGCAGAGTCCACATGGCAAGAGGAACGGCTGGCCTCTGGGAGCTGAGATTGGCCCCTGGCTCTCAGCCAGCAAGGAAATGGGGACCTGACCTCCAGTCACAAAAAGCCCCTCAATTCTGCCACATGCTAAACCTGACAAGCTCAGGGGAGCCCTGCACGGCAGGCCTTAGACCTCAGAGATCTAAAGTAACCACGTAGGATGGTCTGTACATAAAAACTCCTAACTGAAAGCAAGTCACAGCGGTAGTCACGACGTGGGCCTGTAGCTTCTTCCTTCACAACCATCAATCTTTATTTTAAGTAAGCCTGTCTGTTGTCTTTTTGCATCTAAGATAACGTAGCTTTGGAAGTCAGAGTAATCTCCTCTTTTAGACCCCTCCGGGTACACTCTGTACCAGGGCACAAGCCCACAGGACCCCTCATTGTTATCTTATTCCCACAATACCATCTCTATGTCCCGTAAATATTAATTACTAATTATACTTTACCCACCAATGTAAAATTAGTATTTGTCTCTCCATTTTACTCTTTATCCAGTCTCAGAGATTTCCCTACTTTGCTTTCTCCCACCTCCCTATTCTACCAACAATGGATTTCATGTAATCCCTCCGCCACGTCTCTCCTCCTTTGATTCTAATGTATAAAATAAACTGTAAAACTGCCATTCTCCAGAGCATTTTCTCAATCAGTTGAGATTTTGCTTCCCAACGACTGTAAGTTCAGTTCAAATAACCTCATAAAAATTCTCTACAGGTTGGGATGTTTCTTACTTTGACAGGATCCTAGGCTCCAGCCTCCTACACCTTCACTTCCGCCTGTGAGGCCCTCAGCAGAGAGAGCCCCGTTTAGGACCCATGCACTTGCGAGCTCTTTTATTTTCTGCCCTAATTTTGTAGTTTGTGGTAATTGTTTCATTGAGAGAGAACACTGATAGCCTGCGTGTTATAGTTTATAGATAAAGTTAGAGTTTGTTGGATCTTATTGCTGTGTGGCATGCCACTGTTGGACTGCACATACTGTATCCGTCCTACTGTTGATGGACATTTGGGTAGTTGCCACCGTGAACCTTCTAGTACATGTCTTTTGGTGAATATATATGCACGCATCTCTGCTGGCTATCAGTACTTAGAAGTGAAATTTCTGGGTCATAGAATGTGCACATGTTCCTCTTTAGTGAGTCCTGTCAAACAGTTTTCCAAAATATCCATTATTTTTTCAGACTTGCCATGACCTAATAAGGAACTGGTCCCCACCCTCACCGACACTATCATTAACCGACTAATCTGAGAGCAAAAAGCCAAGAGCCAAAATAGTCAAGGGAAAGTAACAGTTTTAAACCCTGGCACTGACCCTCTCCTCAAAGGCCCCGGTCACCTGCCTGAATAAGTGCCAGACAGATGCTGGCACTCGCTGCAGATAGGACTTGGTGGCAGTACTCTGTGTGGGTTAGGTCTGGCTCACTGGCTACTCGGCAAATGATCAGCACTGGCCAGTGCCCCTCTGCTGACCCTGCCCTTCTAATCCTGACGGCGTCATAACCCTGACCGCCTTCACAGCAAGTCAAAGAAGCGTCTTTAATACGCGCACGAACACAAGCATCTGTGCTGGGCCGGACACCGAAAATCTTGCAACATGGAGGTCTGCAGTCCCCGTCGTTGCTATTAATATGGATCTGGGTTCCATTTGAAGCTGAATGCATGTTCTGATTGTAGAATCGCAGCAAACACTCAGAAAGCCTTGCAAACAAAAGAGTAAACACATGCATAAGCGATCACATGCCAGAGTCAGTCAGAACACCATTTTTACATCCTAATTGCCAAGAATGGGGACAGCTGCATCATTGTTTCAAACACACACTCTGCACACAATTAAGCCAAGAACAAATGTCAACACTGGCACAATCTGCTAAATTGCTGATAACTGATGGGCATTGCTCATGCTGTGAGCCCTGTCTCCAATGTAAAATGGAGAGATTCCTCTTTAACAAAGACCTTGAGTTCCTACTGGTTTAAGAAAGCCAGGTTTTGTGTCAGATGGCCAGATTATGTAAGTGACATTCCACCCACGTGTTCAAGGAGTTTGTGATAAGTACATGCTGTTCTTGTGCCTCTTTATATTTGTGTTAACAAGGCAAGCTTCAAGAGGCTGATGTCTGGTTTGGGGATACTTTGTCTGTGACAAGAGGGTCTTGTCGCCCCTAAGCAGAAATGCCCATGGTTTGCCGTGGCGTGGGCAACTGCAGACACTAGACTCTGCTTCATCAGCCTTGTTTTCAATAAAATGTTATTACAGAATAGAACTATGACTTAAATCTCTTGTTCAGTTCCCTTATGAAAC